ACGCTGGGAAGCCGACCATCCTCCGCGTCGACAACAAGTCGGCAATCACGGTCGCTGAGGGCATGGGGTTGACGGGCAACCTCAAGCACATGGAGCGACGCTACGCCTGGCTGCAGCACATGGTGAGGCGCGGGAAGTTCGCGCTGAAGTACATCCCGACCACCGAGCAGCCGGCCGATTTCCTGACGAAGGCGCTGCATTTTCCGGCTTTCAACCGGTGCTCTGTCGCCATCGGCCAAGTTCGCCTGGCCGACGTCGGCGACGGCGACGATGAGGTGCAGCAGTAGGTGCCGTGCCCTTCTGCACGGCTGGTGCGGTGACGGCGTGCTGTGTGTGGGGTGCACGCCGACGACGAGTTTTCTCCGTGGAGTACTGCCGTGTGGGCTGGGGGGCCCAAGCGTGAGCGCGGCAGGGGAGTGTTAACGGGAGTGGAGTGTTGGCCCCGCCCTCGCTTGGGCAACGCCGACGACTTGGTCGGATGTACGGGAGTTGCAGCCGACCGTTCACAGTGGGAGAGCTGCTCGACAGGCTTCGTCGAGCTGCAGGGGACCGCTGTGGTGTTGCTGTCGACTAGGGAGCTCGACAACCGCGTCTGACTGGCCTGGGCGACGGGTTCGCCGTCCGGGGAGGTCTGCGAAGCATCCCGTCGACCTGCAGCTCGACCGGGAGGTCCGCGAAGCATCCCGTCGACCTGCAGCTCGACCGGGAGGTCGACGGAGCAGTTCTGGTCGACGGAAGGGGTCCGTCGACCAGGGGGTAGCTCGACACGAGCTGGTGGTCGACCAGAGGGAGCTGTGGTCGACCAGAGGCACCTGGTGGTCGACCGGAGGCACTGGTGGTCGACCGGAGCACCTGGTGGTGTCCGGGTCGACCGGGTAACCTGCTCGACGAGTTCTGCGGAGGCACGCGAACGTCGTCGAGGTCGCGATGGCGAAGGCGGCGGCGGGCTGGTATCCCGAAGTCGATGTGGCTCGTCAGGCGCAGACAACAGCCGACGGATGCACAACGAAGCAAGTCGGGCCAATCGTCTGCGCGCACCTGCAAGCGTGCGCACTGCTGCCTTCTACGGAGCAACGCTGGACAGCCGCACTGCTGCAGCGTTGGCACGCCGTCGACCTGCAATGTTGGCAGGTCGCTCTTCTGCAGTGCTGGCGCGGCTCCTCTACGCAACGCTGGCACGCGGTCGACCATGCAGTGCTGGCGGTCGACTAGGCTAGTTGCAGAGTTGCTAGGTGCCTGATGTAGTCAATTCTGTTATTGCTTGTTGAATCATTCTGTATTCTCAATCTTTGCTAGTGGAAACTCTTGCCAATTTCTCCCGTGAATGTGCAAGTGCTAAGGAACCAAGCAAAGCTACGATCACTCCTAGTAGTTCGTGCCAACCCCGTAGTCTAGCTCACTACCGTTGTAGAGTGACTCTCCGCATGGTCGGCATCCCACAACACCTGCTACGCATGGGATCGGTGGATTGAAAATTCCAGCAGCAGAAGACTTTGTTGGCAAGCAGCAAGAAGCGCTTAAGTCTGCTCGCCATTGGCTGCAACTCTCTCAGCAGCGACAAAAGTCTTACGCCGACATGAAACGCCGGGAAGTCTCATTTGAGGTCGGAGACAAAGTTTTGTTAAGCACGAAAAACCTTCGTCTCAAAATCCATGGGGCACGAAAGTTGTTCCCTCGATGGATTGGGCCCTTTGAGGTGATCAAGCGTGTTGGTGGGGTAGCTTACAAGCTCAAGCTGCCTGATACATTGCAGATTCACAACGTCTTCCATGTGTCTCTGTTGAACAAGTACGTTGCAGAGGGCAAGTATTTGCCGCCACCAACGATCGTCCTGGGGGAGGAACTGTTTTATGACGTCGAATGAGTGCTGATGCATCGTGATCGACAGCGCGGCCGCAAGGCAATACGAGAGTTCCTCATCAAGTGGAAAGGCTACGGGCCTGAACACAACTCATGGGAACCAGAAGAGCATTTGACTGAAACTGTTGTTCAGTCATACATGACAGATCTGGCCCGACGAGCTGCCGCACAGCCTGTGGATGGTGTTGACCCTGGTCGTAATGTGACACGGCGTGCTCGAAGCGCTCGTCCTCAGAAGCACCCTAAGGCAATGGGGACGTTGCAACCTAGGGGGGGAGGAGTGTAACGCATGACCTACTCTGCCTAATCTACCGCTAGCCTCCTAAGTCAACATCGAGAGAGTTCCTCGATGAGAAATGACTCGATGGGAATTGGGAAGGTTGAGTTGGAGGGGAAGGTTGGTTGGGTTGTTTCAAACCTCAACCTTGATGCTTGGAAACTTCCAACCCATCAAAGTGAAGATTGGGAAGGTTGGATTTCCAACCAATCAAATTGTGCCAGTTGTTGTTACAATCCAACCAAACAACAAAACAACCATACAACACAATTAAGTTGGGTTTTCCCAACCAAACTATAATGCCACCTAGGCTCCAAGCCTAGAAGCTCCCCAACCATGGAAGCCATGGTTGGGAAGAGCCCCAAGGGGTATTGTGGAAGGGGTTGGAGCTTTCAAGCTCATTCCCACTTCCCAACTCCAACTTACCAACTTGGAAATGGGAATCTCTAAGTTTCTGGATTCTCCTAACAAACTCTCCTACACAACTAGAATTGTGATTCTCTAAGGATAAGCTCTGCAAGAAGCTCTCTATTTGCTAAGGCTTCACCAACAACTACAACTTCTCCTCTCAAGATCCTTCAAGCTTAGCTTAAGGATTGGTTATCCCTTGGTGGGATTAGCTAGATAATTTGAAGCTTGTAACTTTGATTTTATATAAATTGTCAGGGAGGATTTATATTAAGCACACGGTTGCCTGTTGTTATAAGGGCCGTAATTGTTACAACGGAGGTGCGACCTGGGGGGAAACGGAGGTGCGACCTGGGGGGAAACGGAGGTGTGACCTGGGGGGAAACGGAGGTGCGACCTGGGGGGGAACGGAGGAAATGGGGGGAAACGGAGGTGCGACCTGGGGGGAAATGGAGGTGCGACCTGGGGGGAAACGGAGGTGCGAACTGGGGGGGAAGGGAGGTGCGACCTGAGGGGAAACGGAGGTGCGACCTGGGGGGAAACGGAGGTGCGACCTGGGGGGGAAGGGAGGTGCGAACTGGGGGGAAAGGGAGGTGCGACCTGGGGGGAAAGGGAGGTGCGACCTGGGGGGAAAGGGAGGTGCGACCTGGAGGGAAAGGGAGGTGCGACCTAGAATGGCCGCTACTCTGTACTCTCCTAGCAGGGATCGCGGCTGCGAGTGTGGTGGCGTCGAAAAGGCGCTATGCCACGCGCACATGGAGAGAATCGCGACTGTGAGCGGGGTGGCTTGAAATAGACGGTAAGAGTGACGCTACGAGCGGGAATCATGGCTCTTATCGTGGTGGCGCGAAACATACGCCGCAAGCGGAAAGCGCGGCTTAGCGTGAAGAAGACGCTACGGTATGCGCACCTGGCCAGAATCGCGGTTGTGAGCGGGGTGGCGTGAAACAGACGTTGTGCTACACGCTGCTAGCAGGAATCGCGGCTATCAGCGTGGCTGCGTGAAAAAAACACTACCTTACGTGCTCCAGGCGAATTTCGCGGCAGTGGGCGCGATGGCGTGCAATATTATACTGCGCTGCCTGCAGCTAGCGGGATTCGCGGCCTAGAGCGGTATGGCATAGATTGGCCGTTGTGCTCATCAGGGCATATGTTATCTATTCCGCTTGGTTGTTTGTTTTGGGCGCAGGGTCTCGCATTTCCGCCGATTTCTTCCCCCAAGCAAACCAGCTCACGAAATTGTTTGTCATCGCCAGTAGTGCTTGAATTCCTCGCACAGGTGTTTGGGGAAGAAGCTCATTTCGCTCTCGAATCATGTTGGGCGAAGGGTGTGAACTTAGATTACCCCCAGAAAATCCCTTTTAGTATGTAGACCGCAGGAATTACAGTAAACAGTTGAGAGGGACCCTCTAAGGGCGCGTGACTTTGGTGTAGAGGCTCAAAAATAAGGTCGACCTTTTGCTGTTACTTGTTTCGCCAATTTCGTGCAGTGCTCTTTGCGTGACTCGTGTGTCCTAGCTCAAAATTCGAGGAAGGGGAAGGTACTGGGGTCGAACTCACGTACGAATTTCGGGTTGCACGATAAGTCAATCGTGTGTCCTAATGAGCATGCATCCTGAATATGCGAATTATGCGACAGTATGCGAAATTGTAGATTGGCCATGAGGGCTATTTGCAGCCCTCGTGCCACCGCGTCGCACGAATCATGCGTGGCGCGCTATTAAGGTGAGAGAGCTACGAATGTTGCACGCGACTCGAATGTGAGTGTATAAAGTTGAACTCGCTTCCCGAACTTTGGTGTGCCATGTGATATTTGTGAGACGAGAATTCGCGATTCGGGTCCAAAAGCCGAGCACCCGAGTACAGGTCGACCTAGGTTCAAACGTAAAAAATCGACTAGAAAACATGAACTTTGCAGTAAACTCAAAAGACACGCCCCCTAAAGTGCTTCCGCACATGGTGTCATGTGTTCAAAACAAAAACCTCGACCTTGTCCCCCGCCTCTCACTTCTTCCGCGATAATCCCCATCCTTCCTTGGACGAAGCCCCCCGCGGTTGTGAATGAATTTCTCGTTTTTTATAGTAGTTTAACATAAATTCTGGCATAATTGAGTAAACGGTGTCTGTAGAGACAGTTCGTAGTGCGACGACGAGCATGGAGGTGATAACTGATGGATGTGTGCCTGGGGAAGGTGCGACCGTGCGAGATGCGACGGGGGGAGTTGCTACGGAGGGAGGTGCGACGGGTGAAGGTGCGACGGGGGTAGGTGCTTCTCGAAACGGTGCTCCGAGTGAAACCGCAATTACGGTGACACAGGATTCTCCCGCAAAGTTGACAATGTGCGATGTGACAGTAGGCGACGCGGTTGAGGGTGGTTCCGGATCGGCGCAGAAAATGGAGGCAGGTGATCTTAGCGAAGGGAACGGAGCGCATGAAAGTATCGAAGCGAGGGAAATGAGTGCGTGTAAGGAGAGCGCGGATGTGAAAGGAGAGTTAGAGGGGAGCGACGCAAAGGGAGTGAGCAGTGCGGAGGAAAGAGGAACGGAGGGAGTGCTTAAGGGGGAGGAAGATGGGGTAAGGGGAAAGGATGGCGAGGCGGAGGCGAAGGAGAATGAGTCTAGGGAGGAGGCTGGGAAGTTGGGGATGGTGGAGGAGGAGGGTAGGGTGAAGGAAGGAGGGTTAGAGGTTAGGGCAGGAGAGGCGGCAGGAGAGGCGGAGTTTAAGGAGGATGGGAAGGAGGAGGCTCGGGACATGGATTATGAAGGGGTCAACGGGAATGAGGAGGAGATGATGGGCGGAGAAGAAGAAAAAGAGGAGGTGAAGGGGAAAGAAGTGGAAGAGGGTGGGGTGGCGATGCAGGAGAAGAAAGAGGAGGAGGACGAGAGTGAGGAAGAGGAGGAAGAGGAGGGGAGTGAGGAAGAGGAAGGGAGTGAGGAGGAGAGTGAAGAAGAGGAGGAGAGTGAGGAGGAGGAAGAGAGTGAGGAGGAAGATGAAGAAACAGCAGAGGACGGGGATGAAGCACAGGAGGAGAAGGAGGAGGAGGAAGAGGAAGAATTACGCAATGGCATATTGATAGAGGAAGAGGAGGAGGAGCTGGAGAGGCTTGAAGGGCACGCGGGGGACATGGGGGAGCTGGTGAGTGGCATGGGTGACTGGCAGGCAGGGGTTAAGGCAGGGGTTAAGGCAGGGGTTAAGGTAGGGGTTAAGGCAGCGGTTAAGGCAGGGGTTAAGGCAGGGGTTAAGGCAGGGGTTAAGGCAGGGGTTAAGGCAGCGGTTAAGGCAGGGGTTAAGGCAGGGGTTAAGGCAGGGGTTAAGGCAGGGGTTAAGGCAGCGGTTAAGGCAGGGGTTAAGGCAGGGGTTAAGGCAGGGTTAAGGCAGGGGTTAAGGCAGGGTTAAGGCAGGGGTTAAGGCAGGGTTAAGGCAGGGTTAAGGCAGGGTTAAGGCAGGGTTAAGGCAGGGGTTTTGACCTGGGTGGGGCTTGATGGCGCTTGAGGGGCACGTGGGGGACCCGGGGGAGCCAGTAAGTGCGTTTGAGGTGACTGGCAGGGGTTTAAGGCAGTAGGGTTTTGACCTGGGTGGGGCTTAACGGGCTTGGAGCGTCTTCACAGAAGCTTGAGGGGCACGTGGGAGACATGGGGGAGCCGGTGAGTGCGTTGCGTTGGGGGTGACTGGCAAGGGTTGAAGGCAGTAGAGGTTGGCCTCAGCGTTGCACTATGGGGTCTAAGGCGCATAGGTCAACCTCTAAGGGTTTTCCTCGCCAGAATAGGTCCTAAGGCGCCAGCGTTTTCCTCGCCAGCATAGGTCCTAAGGCGTGAGGGTTTGGGACGTTTTCGACAGAAAGGTTCGAAGGGTGCGTGGGGGATTTGGGGGACCTGGTGAGCCACTTGTGCGACAGGGTACAGGGTTTAAGGCGGCGGGGTTTTACTCGGGTGGGCTTTACTGCACGTGGGGGGGACAGGGGGGAGCCGGTGAATGGCTGGTTCAAGTGCTCAGGGTTTTGGCCCCTCACCCTTCTCGCTCTCTCCTCTCTCCATCCCACCTCTCTCTCCCACACCTCCCTCCCTCCTTCCTCGCTCCCTGTCTCATCTCTGTCCCCCTCCTCTCTCCCTCCCACCTCTCTCTTCCCCACCTCCCGCCTTCCTTCCTTGCCTCCTGTCTCATCTCTCTCCTCCTCCTCTCTCCCTCCCACCACTCTTGCTCCCTCCTCTCTCCCTCCCACCACTCTTGCTCCCTCCTCTCTCCCTCCCACCTCTCTCTCCCTCCATCCAATTTTTATTTCTCCACTCACCCTCTTCTTCTCTTTCCTTCTTCTCTTGGCTCCCTCCCTCCATCCCACCTCTCCCGCTCATTTGCCCCATCACCCACCATGCATCCCACCTCTCCCGCTCATTTGCCCCATCACCCACCATGCATCCCACCTCTCCCGCTCATTTGCCCCATCACCCACCATGCATCCCACCTCTCCCGCTCATTTGCCCCATCACCCACCATGCATCCCACCTCTCCCGCTCATTTGCCCCATCACCCACCATGCATCCCACCTCTCCCGCTCATTTGCCCCATCACCCACCATGCATCCCACCTCTCCCGCTCATTTGCCCCATCACCCACCATGCATCCCACCTCTCCCGCTCATTTGCCCCATCACCCACCATGCATCCCACCTCTCCCGCTCATTTGCCCCATCACCCACCATGCATCCCACCTCTCCCGCTCATTTGCCCCATCACCCACCATGCATCCCACCTCTCCCGCTCATTTGCCCCATCACCCACCATGCATCCCACCTCTCCCGCTCATTTGCCCCATCACCCACCATGCATCCCACCTCTCCCGCTCATTTGCCCCATCACCCACCATGCATCCCACCTCTCCCGCTCATTTGCCCCATCACCCACCATGCATCCCACCTCTCCCGCTCATTTGCCCCATCACCCACCATGCATCCCACCTCTCCCGCTCATTTGCCCCATCACCCACCATGCATCCCACCTCTCCCGCTCATTTGCCCCATCACCCACCATGCATCCCACCTCTCCCGCTCATTTGCCCCATCACCCACCATGCATCCCACCTCTCCCGCTCATTTGCCCCATCACCCACCATGCATCCCACCTCTCCCGCTCATTTGCCCCATCACCCACCATGCATCCCACCTCTCCCGCTCATTTGCCCCATCACCCACCATGCATCCCACCTCTCCCGCTCATTTGCCCCATCACCCACCATGCATCCCACCTCTCCCGCTCATTTGCCCCATCACCCACCATGCATCCCACCTCTCCCGCTCATTTGCCCCATCACCCACCATGCATCCCACCTCTCCCGCTCATTTGCCCCATCACCCACCATGCATCCCACCTCTCCCGCTCATTTGCCCCATCACCCACCATGCATCCCACCTCTCCCGCTCATTTGCCCCATCACCCACCATGCATCCCACCTCTCCCGCTCATTTTCCCCATCACCCACCATGCATCCCACCTCTCCCGCTCATTTGCCCCATCACCCACCATGCATCCCACCTCTCCCGCTCATTTGCCCCATCACCCACCATGCATCCCACCTCTCCCGCTCATTTGCCCCATCACCCACCATGAATCCCACCTCTCCCGCTCATTTGCCCCATCACCCACCATGCATCCCACCTCTCCCGCTCATTTGCCCCATCACCCACCATGCATCCCACCTCTCCCGCTCATTTGCCCCATCACCCACCATGCATCCCACCTCTCCCGCTCATTTGCCCCATCACCCACCATGCATCCCACCTCTCCCGCTCATTTGCCCCATCACCCACCATGCATCCCACCTCTCCCGCTCATTTGCCCCATCACCCACCATGCATCCCACCTCTCCCGCTCATTTGCCCCATCACCCACCATGCATCCCACCTCTCCCGCTCATTTGCCCCATCACCCACCATGCATCCCACCTCTCCCGCTCATTTGCCCCATCACCCACCATGCATCCCACCTCTCCCGCTCATTTGCCCCATCACCCACCATGCATCCCACCTCTCCCGCTCATTTGCCCCATCACCCACCATGCATCCCACCTCTCCCGCTCATTTGCCCCATCACCCACCATGCATCCCACCTCTCCCGCTCATTTGCCCCATCACCCACCATGCATCCCACCTCTCCCGCTCATTTGCCCCATCACCCACCATGCATCCCACCTCTCCCGCTCATTTGCCCCATCACCCACCATGCATCCCACCTCTCCCGCTCATTTGCCCCATCACCCACCATGCATCCCACCTCTCCCGCTCATTTGCCCCATCACCCACCATGCATCCCACCTCTCCCGCTCATTTGCCCCATCACCCACCATGCATCCCACCTCTCCCGCTCATTTGCCCCATCACCCACCATGCATCCCACCTCTCCCGCTCATTTGCCCCATCACCCACCATGCATCCCACCTCTCCCGCTCATTTGCCCCATCACCCACCATGCATCCCACCTCTCCCGCTCATTTGCCCCATCACCCACCATGCATCCCACCTCTCCCGCTCATTTGCCCCATCACCCACCATGCATCCCACCTCTCCCGCTCATTTGCCCCATCACCCACCATGCATCCCACCTCTCCCGCTCATTTGCCCCATCACCCACCATGCATCCCACCTCTCCCGCTCATTTGCCCCATCACCCACCATGCATCCCACCTCTCCCGCTCATTTGCCCCATCACCCACCATGCATCCCACCTCTCCCGCTCATTTGCCCCATCACCCACCATGCATCCCACCTCTCCCGCTCATTTGCCCCATCACCCACCATGCATCCCACCTCTCCCGCTCATTTGCCCCATCACCCACCATGCATCGCACCTCTCCCGCTCATTTGCCCCATCACCCACCATGCATCCCACCTCTCCCGCTCATTTGCCCCATCACCCACCATGCATCCCACCTCTCCCGCTCATTTGCCCCATCACCCACCATGCATCCCACCTCTCCCGCTCATTTGCCCCATCACCCACCATGCATCCCACCTCTCCCGCTCATTTGCCCCATCACCCACCATGCATCCCACCTCTCCCGCTCATTTGCCCCATCACCCACCATGCATCCCACCTCTCCCGCTCATTTGCCCCATCACCCACCATGCATCCCACCTCTCCCGCTCATTTGCCCCATCACCCACCATGCATCCCACCTCTCCCGCTCATTTGCCCCATCACCCACCATGCATCCCACCTCTCCCGCTCATTTGCCCCATCACCCACCATGCATCCCACCTCTCCCGCTCATTTGCCCCATCACCCACCATGCATCCCACCTCTCCCGCTCATTTGCCCCATCACCCACCATGCATCCCACCTCTCCCGCTCATTTGCCCCATCACCCACCATGCATCCCACCTCTCCCGCTCATTTGCCCCATCACCCACCATGCATCCCACCTCTCCCGCTCATTTGCCCCATCACCCACCATGCATCCCACCTCTCCCGCTCATTTGCCCCATCACCCACCATGCATCCCACCTCTCCCGCTCATTTGCCCCATCACCCACCATGCATCCCACCTCTCCCGCTCATTTGCCCCATCACCCACCATGCATCCCACCTCTCCCGCTCATTTGCCCCATCACCCACCATGCATCCCACCTCTCCCGCTCATTTGCCCCATCACCCACCATGCATCCCACCTCTCCCGCTCATTTGCCCCATCACCCACCATGCATCCCACCTCTCCCGCTCATTTGCCCCATCACCCACCATGCATCCCACCTCTCCCGCTCATTTGCCCCATCACCCACCATGCATCCCACCTCTCCCGCTCATTTGCCCCATCACCCACCATGCATCCCACCTCTCCCGCTCATTTGCCCCATCACCCACCATGCATCCCACCTCTCCCGCTCATTTGCCCCATCACCCACCATGCATCCCACCTCTCCCGCTCATTTGCCCCATCACCCACCATGCATCCCACCTCTCCCGCTCATTTGCCCCATCACCCACCATGCATCCCACCTCTCCCGCTCATTTGCCCCATCACCCACCATGCATCCCACCTCTCCCGCTCATTTGCCCCATCACCCACCATGCATCCCACCTCTCCCGCTCATTTGCCCCATCACCCACCATGCATCCCACCTCTCCCGCTCATTTGCCCCATCACCCACCATGCATCCCACCTCTCCCGCTCATTTGCCCCATCACCCACCATGCATCCCACCTCTCCCGCTCATTTGCCCCATCACCCACCATGCATCCCACCTCTCCCGCTCATTTGCCCCATCACCCACCATGCATCCCACCTCTCCCGCTCATTTGCCCCATCACCCACCATGCATCCCACCTCTCCCGCTCATTTGCCCCATCACCCACCATGCATCCCACCTCTCCCGCTCATTTGCCCCATCACCCACCATGCATCCCACC